GTTAGCCAGGATGGTCTCGATCTCCTGACCTCGTGATCCACCCGTCTCGGCCTCCCAAAGTGCTGGGATTACAGGCTTGAGCCACCGTGCCCGGCTGCAAATTTTCATTTATAAAATGAATATGTGACCGGGCACGGCGACTCGCACTTTGGGAGGCCGAGACAGGCAGATCACTTAAGATGAGACATGGTGAAACCCCGTCTCTACTAAAAATAAAAAATTAGCCAGGCGTGGTGGTGCACACCTGTAATTCCAGCTACTCGGTAGGCTGAGGCAAGAGAATCGCTTGAACCCGGGAGACGGAGGTTGCAGTGAGCCGAGATCGTGCCACTGCACTCCAGCCTGGGCAACAGAGTGAAACTCCATCTCAAAATAAATAAATAAATAAATTAATTAAATAAATGTCACCATGTCATTCTCAGGCTAGGAAAAAAACGAATATGCTCTGGAGATCTGATGTACAGCATGGTGGCTATAGCTAATATATATTGTATGCTTACAATTTGCTAAATTTTCGGTGTTCTCATGATGTAAAAAAGGTAATTGGCTCACGCCTGTAATCCCAGTGCTTTGGGAGGCCGAGGTGGGCATATCGCTTGAGGTCAGGAGTTCAAGACCAGCCTGGTAACATGGTGGATCCCCACCTCTACTAAAAATGCAAAAGTTAATTGGGTGTGGTGTCATGCACCTGTAATCCCAGCTACTTGGGAGGCTGAGGCACAAGAATTGCTTGAACCTGAGTGGTGGGGGTTGTAGTGAGCCAAGATCACACCACTATACTCCAGCTTAGGTGACAGAGCAAGACTCTGTCTCAAAAAAATAAAAAGGAAAAAAGATAACTATGTGAAGTGATGAATATGCTAACTAGCTTGATTGTGGTAACCATTTTGCGATGTATACATATATACAGAGAGAGATGTCACATTGTATACCTTAAATAGATACAGTCTTTGTCAATTATACCTCAGTAAAGCTAGGGAAAACAAGAAAGAGAGAAAGAAGTGAATGAAATAGAAAAGACAAGCCAGAATCCATACAAATGACACCTTTCTCTGGCTGAAAACTCATTAGGCACAGACATCTGCAAGGCCACTACCAGCTACACCCGCTGTGTTGTAAAACATTCCTTAGAAAACATTCTTAGTACCTTTACTGTTTGAATTTTTTCCCCATTAACAGTTACCATTCCTTAGAACTTCACTGCTTTAACCAAAGCTACAATTTTATGTTTATCTGGTTTTACTCCCTGTCCTTTCCCACTGATGCTTAGGATTCAGAAGCAAAACTGAGTTTGCATTGCTTGAAATTGATTTCTAATCCCAAATCAGATTACCTGTACAACTATAGACACACCCTTTGAAATCCTGAATGGATAAATAATTTAATCCCTTTTCTGTTAATGTATCATAGCTATTTTTGTGTTTTTTTCTCCAATTTTATATATGGTTAACATTTCAAAGATTTGTGCAATTTTGAAAAAAGCAAACTTCATGCCATAAAATCAGAAAATGGTGGACACAAAAACCTAACTGATTTCTGTTAGTTAATGTTATTTCCTGCTTGTGTTAATCTCATCTGGTCTGATTAGACCAGATCTGCCACCCTGATGGCATCAGTTAATGAGGCAGAGGTGATCCTGGTAAAATCTCTTGGGAGAAAAACGGAACACATTCTTGCCTTTCCCTAATCCATTTGTCATAATGCTTCCAGTCAACGTTTATAAAATGCTAATCTGC